CTGTTTAAACTGGCTTATTCGCTTTAATGCTGATTTTATCTGTTGTCACGCTCTGTTTTGTAATTTTAACTTATTTTATGTATTTTATGACTACTGTTCCTTTTATTAATTGTGTTTTTTGCAAGGAGACCTTGGGTTTCTGAAAGGCGCCCTCAAATAAAATGTATTATCATTATCATTATTATTATTATTATGTCTCTTTTCTTTCCAATATCTCCCGCCTTCGTCCATCCAGCCTTTCTCTCTGGCTGTCTTCTTTGGCTCATGCTTTCAGCTCCCCTCTCTCAACATTGCTTGTTTTCTGGCACAGACGATCACATGATGTATCTCTTATCTCCCTATCTGCCTTTCCTCTAACTTTCTCAGCCATATTGTTCTCTTTTTCCATCTCCCTTCATCAAAATTTCTAACTTTCCTTCTTATCTATGCAAACCCTCTTATATTTCCAGCCCCCTCTATCCCCCACCCCCTTGGCTTTTCTCTCTCTTCCATCCAGCTGTCAATTTTTGTTTGACATTTTTCTTTTACATCGTCTTATCCTGTATCGAGTTGTCATGGCCTCTGGCACCCCTCTTCCTCTGAACCCTGCCTTGCTCTCCGTTTCCTTTACACTTCCACTGCTCTCCAGTGTGCTCCTTCAGCAATCTTCCTTCCCCTCTTTCATCTTCCCTTGAGTCTTCACCTTCTTTATCTACCTTTTCCTTCATCCTGCACCCCCACCTCCTATCCTAAAACCATCAGCCCGTCCTCATCTCCCTTTCAGTCACAGTCTGTACTTTTTCCTCTCTGTGCTTCTGTTCCATCATTTAATCATCCTCTCTTTCTTTTGTTCATCTTCCCCACTGCTCTGCTTATACAATTCATTCCTAACCTCCATTGCTCTGCCATTGTCGTGTCCTCTTCATCTTCTTCCAGCTTCACCTCACACCTTCTGTATTTCTAATACGCTTCTCCAGCTTCTTCTGCCTCTGTGTCACACCCTCTCCTGTCTCCTAGCATTTTCTTTTCCCATTCTGCCCTCCCCGCCTTTGTGCGTTCATCTTCTTTGCTTCTGTGTCCTTCCTTTTCTGTCTACTTTCATTCCTTCCTCTCTCTACTTTGTATCCTACATCCTTATTTTGGACCCTCTGCACTCTTCTTTCTTTCTGTTTTCATGTCTACACCTTCTGTTCTGTGTTTTTTGATCTTTCTATCTTGATTGTCTTACTTTTTCACTCAGCCTTGTTTTTTTTAATCTTTCACCAAACAGATCTTCATCCACTTTTCTGTAGCCTGTCACTCCGCTGCGCTACTGTCAGTCTTTCTCTTCTACTGGCTTTTTTAAAAAAAACCAAAAAAAAAAAATCTTCCAATATCTCTTGTCCACACTCTCTCTCACTTTGTCTTTAATTTTCTTTCATCTTTATTCAGGAGGAGGAGTGTACCCCTCCAACTAGTTGCTTTCTCTCTGATCAGTTTTACTAATCGTCTACTCTGTGGATTAGACTACTCTGTCTGTTCCCCGTTCTTTTCTTTTCACATTCATCTTTCTTCCATTTTATCCAGTTTCTTTTTGTTTCTCCTGTTACTACCCCTCTTCTTTTTCTTTCTACTGATGTCATCTTTGTGCTTCTCGCTGAGCGACCTGTCTTTCTCAACCCTTTTATCCATATTTTTCCTTATTAATATTAAATTTCCACACTTTCTGTTCTCTTTCTATTACACTCATTGACCTTTACATCTCTACCTCAGAAAGACATATGCAAATGTAAGTATAAATTACACCTTATTGGTCATGCTTGGGAAGAAGCTTCCTATCCTTCTTCATCATTCCCTTTTCCTTCATCTTCATAATCCTTTATTTTTCTCACCACTACCTTTGTCATCTTCCTACCCTTTGAACCTATACCTGCCATTTGTGTCCTCCACCTGGATCTCTCTCTCTTTTTTTTTAAGCAGTCTTTTTGCTCCCTCATCCCTTCAGTTCACCATCCTTTCCTTCACCCTACTTCTTCATACTCTTATACATTTGTCTTTCTATTCAGCTTTAAATTCTCCCTCTCACATCTTCTGTTTCCTCTTCATTTTTTTCAACCTTTCAGTTCAGTCAGTACTGCTGCTCCCATCCGTCTGCTTCATCCCAAACAAGCTTGACTGGGGTTTAAGTCTGAGGACTGTGCTGGTCTGCCATCATTTGTGTGCCTACCTTTATTTCTCTTTGGGAGGAGCCCAGCCCAACCAGTCTGTCTTCCGCTGTTACTTGTCTTTTTTTTGTCCTAGTAATGCATCGCAGGGTGTGGTGACACAGTTTGTTCCCACGCAGCTTTTGCATGTAGGTTTTGTAAGCATTAAAACAAAAGTTGGTCCTCCTGTACACATTTCTTTCCACCCCACAACTAAAACCATCCAGCAGGAGTGTGTGTGTGTTGGTCAGTCGAATAAAAATAAGGGCGTGTGTACTAATATAGATAGATAGATAGATAGATAGATAGATAGATAGATAGATAGATAGATAGATAGATAGATAGATAGATAGATAGATAGATAGATAGATAGATAGATAGATTTAATAGATAGATAGATAGATAGATAGATAGATAGATATTTATTTATTTATTTTAAATACTTGTTTTTGGCTCCAGCAGCACACACGAGCCTGATGCAGCGTCTCTAGCCACCAGGGGTCACTAGACAACAACACGACAGTCCATCTTTCCATGTTTTAGTGTCGGTGTGATATTTTTGTAGCTGTCATGTTCACAAATTGAGCTGCAACTTTGTAAAGTCTGCATGCTCTCTCCAAGTACCTCTGAGGTTTTATCTACTGCGTGGACTTGTACTCCGCCCCCCAGTAGCGGTTTTTGATACGGGCGACACGGGGCGGCATCGTGGTGGGGGGCGGAGTTCTCTGGCTGGCTGGAGCAGCATCTAATAACCAACTCGAAAATAAAACAAAATAAAAACAAACACAACAAACACGAAAACACCAGACATCATGATACAGACTTATAATTTGCACCGATGTTTTTTCGAAATTCTATACGCGAAAAGTGAGCGCGAGAGCCCTCGGTGCGCCTGCTCGCTGCTGAAGTCAAAGTAAACTTTATTGTCATCTCCGCTACATACAGTCCAGTATATAGAGAGACGAGACGACGAGGCTCCAGTTACAGCAGTGCAAGTAAACAAACAATAAATATAAGAAGAGTAAGAAAATAAATATACACTTTAGGACTCGGGGTAAAGGGATCAATAACAATTTAAAATTTATAATTTACAGTTTGATGATTTAAAGTCTCACACACAACCCGTCGAAAGGGGAGGGGACCTGCTGCTTCCAAATAGAGCACATTTCATTCATAATGTTGTAAATCCAAGCCCATTATGTATTCATGATTTGAATCCTGGGTTGTGTGAAATCCCAGAAATAAACCCTAGACAAAGTGAATCTGTGAACTAAGGTGTAGGTCTATTAGGTTATGTTGTGGTGATCCTCGAGGTTGGGGGATTTGTGTTCATACTGGAGTGCAAAATTAAAACCAATGGAAGATGGACAAGAAAAGTTCAAAGCCATCAGGTGCTCAGTTTAGAAAAAAGAGAAAAGAAGAGGAGGAGAAACGAGCAAAAGATACAGGTAAGCAGATGTGTCATTGGATAATGGCAGGTCATCCTGAAACAATCAGAATCAGAATACTTTATTAATCCCTAAGGAAATTATGTGTGGTTACAGTTGCTCCAAGAAAGAAATGGTAAAAATAGTAACAGTAACAGACTAAACTCCAAACAATACATTATGTTACAGATTTTAATATTAATTAGTCATTGTCAATTGTTGATTTGTCCTGTTCTCATTGTATGACGAATTATGATGGCTGTTTGGTAGCCG